TACTTGTTAGTTTGGTCTTTGACCATTGTTATCTGATCATTTTTAAACTTGTATTCGTTGTTAATTAACTGAGCTTTATCCGCAATTAACTCGTTTTCTATCTAAATATATATATAATACAATACATTCATTATTCAAAAAACTTAATAAAATCCACGGACTGCCAAACGCATGCACAGTAAACAATAACCTTTAATCCCTCGAACTTCTTTTCGATCGTTTCCAATTTTAGTCCATCGCCRCCGTAATTATCGATTATCTAAATAACAATGGACAAATATGATAGAAACGAACATATTAAGTACATTCMAAATATCTTACTTATTAAACAATTTGTCTGCATGAGTATATAGTTTAAGATTTATAAGTTCTTATTTCCTACAGRTACCTACCCAGTGCAAGTTTAACTATTATATTTTATAATAATATTATACAATAAATTAAGCTCAGCTTGTCAATATGAAGTGGTTGAYTTGGATCGGCGGTTCCCAAAGTGTWGTATAGTTATAGTAGGTAATAGGTATARCCGTATGGATAAGTCTAACATCGATATTTATTTTACAATATTCGACTTATCTAAATAGAAATCTATATTAATTTACGGAACAAATTTCGTACCTGTACTTCTTTAGAAGTGTCAGAAACATTATTAACATCCAATAGTTTTCCRTTATTGAAATGCTCTTTCACTAAAACGTGTAATACAAAATATAAATGTAATTAACTACCACAATACTATAATATGATAGTATAATAATTACCTAATATATAGTATTTAAAAAAAAAATTGATACTTTATAGTCGCATTCGCCCACAAAAATAACTTTTACACAAATTTGATTAATAATTTATGATAAATATTATTTGAATAGAAATTTACTTTTAGGCTTTTCGAGACTCTCGTCTGATTTTTCACGATTTGCTACGTAATTTGTTGTCATATGTTCATTTAACACTTCTTTATAAAAAATATGTGATTCTTGTGGGTTGATMATTTCTTTATCACAGACGTTAGAATTCTGATGGAAGAAAYATTCAGTAATGAAATTGGGTGAGGGTAAAATTATTTCAAATATTGTACACTTAAGCGGATGAATGCATATTATTTTAAATTGCAGTCATGTATGTGTGACGTTAATCAGCTTAAAGTCACAAAAGTTGATTCATTATTAAATATTTCTGAGTTTTACTCTCAACGTTTTTAAAATATTATAATATTGTCAAACATAAAATCTCACCATTGGCAGATGTATATWGTTAAAGACTATAGAGGTTCGTCAAACAATAAAAATAATAAGTTATATTTATTCGAAACTAAGTATTTGTAAATTACAATTATTGATTTTAAGTTTATCGTCGTTATAGAACCACAATCGTGTATATTCAAAACAGTTTTAATTATATTATTATTATATAATAATTTAATTGGAAATTTTAAGGAGAAAATCCAATCATTTGGCTTCTTATTGTTGGGAAATATTAGTCATTGCCTCACGCATTTAACTATTTAAATCTTATTGTAGTCCGCAAATAGGTATTTACGAAATATTATCAATATTATAACAATTGCCTATACAATAATAATTCAAATATTGCAGTACGTTTAACAATTAGCCAGCATCAGCTAAGGATTTCAAGCCAATTTATTTTTCTAAAGACAATTATAATTATTGGTACATAACTACGCGTAGTTTTAAAAATAATATCATATTTTCTAGGTGTATTTATTTATATTACTATGCCTTATGGTCTATGGAAAACTATGGATTATTTAAAAAAGGACTGCTATAACTGTTATTAACTTTAACTCTTTGTGTTGTATTGAATAAGTGGAGTGAATAAATTATTTAGTATATAATTACACTAGAAGCTAATTAAAAAAAAAATGTATTTAGTTTTTTAGCGATACCATGAATTTCTGCATGTCTTAAATTTTTTTTATGAGTAAGTTGTGGTTTTGAGCGAATGTTTTTTTAAAATTCATTTTGGTTTTATAATCAAAGCTATTGCTAAAAATTTTTTTTTTAAAACAGATTATCACTTATATATTATATACTAATGTTCTCTCCTAATTTTGCGTGGTTTTTTTTATGTATAAATAATAAATATATGTACTTCAGTCTTCAGTACTTATAAAAAAATGTATATACCGTATTTCTGCTTATTATTATAATAATATAATATAATATTGAAAAAATTAAATTTTTTAAGTCCATGAACTTTTGATAAGCCAGCGCGAGATAAAAATATATTGAAAAAACATCATAATATTATTGTAAGTTAAAATTGTGATATCCATAAGTATCAATCAATTGTATTATTGTACGTAACCTTGGCAACCATTTATAGATCAGCAAAACATACCAATTTCTAGACATTTTCTACCATTATGTTATTATATGTATCGTACCTATAATACATGCAAATGCTTGAATATTACAGATAATAATACGGAACAGCTCGATTAAAAAGCACAAAACATTTTGACTCATCGGAAACGTAGGGCTGCCTACTTAAAACATTTTAAGGCGTTGAATCTAATTTCACTTCAAGTAATTATTAATTTCTAATCAAAACATCTATATGAAATAGATTATCAGTCCATACCGAGACTGTTAAGTTGTCTCATCGGAAACGTAGGGCTGCCTACTTAAAACATTTTAAGGCGTTAAATCTAATTTCACTTCAAGTAATTATTAATTTCTAATCAAAACATCTATATGAAATAGATTATCAGTCCATACCGAGACTGTTAAGTTGTCTAAACGTTATATTAAATACTGYAAATAGAACTCTGTAATATTTGGCARTATAATTTTTAAGGGCAACTAGAAAATCTTTTTGAGGATACCTATGACGCATCATTTTAACATCGACTGTTCCGTATTGATGTACATATATATATTATTTGATAAAAGTAATATTACGTATCCAATGACAACCATTTATATAGAAAAATCACATSGRAAAAGGTCTCRGTTTTTCCCAAGTTTTCCGATTTTTTTCCCACATATCGTCAACTTATGTTAAGTATTTATGATATTGGTTAGACATTTACGTTAATATAGCTAAATTACATCATTGACGGTAACATATTCACCGYAGCAGAGGKTCACTAGGTGCCTATAATGTAGGCCCCGGTCTCTGCATAACTATACAATACAAAAAACGCATTCAATTTAAGTATATTTTTACATTAGAACCTCGGGAAACTCTTAGCACCGAACAGCCGGCGCCTCAAGTAAACCACATAACATTTATGATTACGAACGTCGAAGATTTTCGTTGCCTACGTCTAGTGTTTGAAGTATGAAACATTTCTTATAAACCATTAAAATTTTTTCTGTTACAAATATTAATGAAGATTATTTATCATTAACTTAACCAAAGAAAACCATCATTAATGAGTAGTTAATGATTGATTCCCCTAATAAATAATTATGTTATAGAATTGTGAAGGTAAGTTATTGCAATTATACGTAAAAATAAAAACTTATTTAAAAAAAATAAATATATTATAATATTGAAATATTTCATGAAATGTTTTAACAATTTTAAATTTCAAGAAATTTGCAAACACTAGGTACCTACGTCATGATATTTATGCGGCTGCACTGATTCTGAAAGTCTCGTTGGATGCAAATGTGCCGAGTCGATTGATCTATATATTATATATATAGTATAGACATTTCTCGACACTCATCGGCACCCACAAGTGTGCGCAGATTTAAATCGTAGATGCATCATTGAAGTATCATAAAACGGCGCTTTTTTTTTTTTACTCGTGGCCAAATACATTTTTAATGACCGCAAAACTATTAACTTTTACGATAATATGCAGACACTCCTACCTCGTTTGATTAAACTAAGTGAGGGCTGTCGATATTTGTATCAAATTCTGTCCAGTTAAGGAGCAATTGGTTAATTATTCCTATACTACACGAACCGGTCTTGAGAACCTTGTAGTTGTTGAATCGATCCAAATAATGTTTTCTGAGTTATATATTACAGGTCCTAGAAACTTATGACCTACGTTCATATACAGACTAACACAATTACACACAATATATACTAGGATTTTCTTATAGGGTAAACGTATATACTACATATACGCCGTATACTCTTAAGATTTTTTTCAATATTATTATGAATATACTGCGTATGCTCTCAATCGTGATCGATATTATACCATTATTATACAATATTTGTAAAGATTGACAAAATATACGTAATAATATAAAGAGGATGTATTATAAAAAATTTGGCTTAAAATTTTTTCCATATTATTGACACGCTCTTTACCGGCTTTACTCTTAAAAACCATAAGAAACATATTTTTATTGTATTAAATGTTTATATTTGATGATATAGTATACTCTCAAAAAAATCAATGGGAACACCTAGCAACCAGCAACGTACACGACGTTTATTAAATGATTGRTTAGTAATAATATTGAACTGTAGTAGGTACACTATCACCTGAGTAACCCTATACATAAGAGTGRTATATTGAAAATCACGCGAAGAGTAGCGGAGTACGAGTTGAAACAAATTGAATTATTATGATTTGCATGCACATGAACATTTTTTTGCATCTTTGAATATCCTCATGCAGTCTGATGTCTGTATTCTATATAGATACTGTAACTCTATTTTRCATATATAGTTATTAAATTATTAATTATTTTAAAGTTGATGTATTAAACTGCATAGTATGCGGTTATTGTTGTTCACTAAAATATTGTAAATTTGTAGGTTGTTCCACTAGAGCACTGACGCGACTTCATATTATAATATGAGATGGTATTTTATTGTTATAGTACAGTTATAGCTACTAGGTACCAGCTGAGTATCCCAACTTTACTAGAACGTCAGTCAAATCTCAAATATTTCTTTTTACTGGTGAGTTTTGGATCTAGATGACAGATGCATATAGGTACATCATAGTATCATACGTGTATATAAAGAATAATATAATATACAACATAATATTATAATAAATGATAATTTTACATTTCAATGCATCAGATCATCATAATTCATGGTACACTATGTCACTATATAGGGAATATGGGTCTGAAGGATTTGACGATAATTGCTCATTTATATAGATTTTTATTTAAATTATTAAATCCTCCAAATACACCATATATATGTATATTATGTATAAATGTATAATAATATATGTATTTATATAGTAAAATAATGAATATTAAATTGGTAATGAAATTAGCAGCAGGTCACTCGGTTAGCAACATGTTTAGTAGTCATATACCCCCACCATTCAGCTATGGGAGTTTTTTTTTACATGTAGACAAGGAAATGATAATGATTCAGCCAGTATGTGAACGCAATTGAGCTGGTGTATATAGTTCTCGGAATATTTGTGCTTCCTGTAAGTATATGCAATATTAATTCATGTTATACAATTTAAATTTATTAAGTATTAAATGTGGTTTTAATTATATTTAAAGATAAAATTTATTTGGATTAAAATAATAAATAATAAATTATAAGTATTTTTTTAAATATTTATTTATTCAAATTATTTTAATTACCTAATTATTTGATGAACTAATAATTTATTAAAATCCAAATTTGCTCTCAATTAAAATCATTTTTTAAATTTGTTTTTAATTCATAACAAATATACATATTTTTATATAGGTAGGTAAATATACCTATACGAAAAAAACGGAATTTGTGTATCTAATATCTATAAAATAGGAAGAAAAAAAATGGTAGAAATGTTATTTATACAACAAAAACAAATTATTTCYATGGTTTATTATTTGAATTTATAAATTTTTGTATACTTTTTATATAATTGTTATGAGCTCATATACTTGGATAGACGAAATTATAAATACTTTAAAAAATATTAATTTAATTAAATATACTTGGATAATATTTTTAGAATTTGTATTTTGTCAATTTGAGGTACGACATTTAATAAAATCATTTATTTATGTAATAATATAGCATGATGCGAAGTCGTGAAATATTTTAAAAACCTATTCATATACMTTTTATAATAATTTGGAAATACTAAATGTTTTTGTAAGAACCATTTTGATGATAATTCAAATTTGTAATAACTGTTGTCTGTTAGTTATTTAATTATTAGTTAAAATATAGATATCTTACTTGTTATTTAATTTTTGATTTTTCTTTAATTGAAACTGGGTTATTATTTTATTAATTTGAATTTAATATCGATTATGTAGATGTCAATATGACAGAACAAAGGGGGAGTAAGGGATTAAGACCCTCAAGAGCCCAGAGACTAACCACAGTACCACACACATAATGTTTATTACCTACATAATTTAATTATTTATTTACATAAATGATTATTTGACAATGAACTGGAGCTATAGATAAAATAGTTATATTTRTTTAAAAATGTTCAAACTACATATAATATTATTTGTATGTTTTGATTATCCATTCTCCCACTGATTCCAGATTTTTATTAGACTCGTCGCTGGAAGATCTGCAGACGTGTACTAGGTTACCAAAAAACTTTTTTCACTATTTAACTGTACAAATATTATTATAATTTAACATTAAGCTTGTTTAACCAGCTTAAATCCATTGGACTTTCGTAAGAATATAAATGATTGTGTAACACAAGAAAAAATATTATMGTCCAATGTTWTCGTCTAGACTACTCGCCAAAACAAAGATTTTTAGTTGCAATTTTAGATCATTATCACCTCAAGTTCCTTCGATTTAGCTAGGAGCGGATATATTATAGTATTATGTGCACAACGTTTTCGTTGAAATAACACAGTTTAAATAAATATGCCCAGAAGTAACGATTAATCATTGGTAAGATTAAAATCGTGTATGCTAATCAGTAAGCAAACCGGTTATTGGACTGTGCTTATGACGGTAAACAGTGCCGGGGGAGCTTATACCGTGTCCGTCACCTTTCCTCCAGTCGTAATTAGTTGCAATCGTCATGAATGGAACGATTTCTCGAGAAAAGACTTGGGACGGTTGCCAAAAGTAGATTTACTCCAGGTCGATGATCCCCGGTACCTATAACCGGATAGTATATTATATTTTCATTAATTCATGAAATAATTATTATATGTAAAATAAAAGCAAATTTCCGTTTGTACAGACATCATAATTATAATTTTCCTCACAATATATTTGATATTTGACGCCGATCTCCAAACACATATCACAAATCGTTTGGATCGATTCCGCGAGCCACGGCTGTATGATGTTTACTTTTACTCCACATATATATATAATATATATATACTAGTAACGAGATTCGATTCGATTCATTCACTGAGCCCCCCGTTCTAGTAATTAATATTAAATCCTACCATTCCTACCTCAACGTCCTCAACCCGAAGTTGCCGTTTTCCAAGTGGCTACCTGCCAAAATATTACGTGAATGATACAGAACTGCAGCGGTYTTCCGAGGCACAAATACTTTATGGTTGAATGACACTATACAAACGAGACTGTATTGTGTTCGTTATACATATCATTTTGTATGTTGTTACTAGATGTTGGGTTGTATATGTATATATATATATATGATTTAATAATATAATAATTTGAACGTTTGCTAATGCTCTAGAAGTCAAAGCCTATACATTTGAACAACAAAAAAATAAATTGAACTGTATAATGGTGGCACAATGGAACATTATATCGAAACTTTCACGTGCTTTCAAGCAGCTGAGGACTGCGTATAGCGAATACTAAATAGTACTTATAATTGGTAAACAGCAGTTAGTAATAAACTAATAATAATAATAATAATAAAGATAATATTTATATATTATGTATATATGTTTACATCTACCACATATATATATATATATATATATATTAAGCAGTATATTATTGGTATGACAATTAAGTGTTTCACGTGCATCAGATCTCACAATTTATAATAGCACAGTGAAACCTCTAAATGTTGTCCATTATTCGGAAGTGTTCGCTATTTATGAGTTACCGTTAGGGGAGGTTTGGCTGTATTTATGTCGCATTTGCATAGTGAAATCACTCATTTCATGAACTGAATATTCAGACAGTGAAATTCGTCCAAATTGTGAATTTTGACGAAAATTCATTATATAATGGACACCCATTTCATGATTTGAGTGCTTTCACTATGTGGATGCGACATATGTCTATATATTATACTCTTTCAATTKYCGTTTGATGTAGTATATATTAATGATATCACCTATATAAATATCCCTAATGTGATCGGAATTCTGCAGTAGTACGCATGCACACGGTAGTGCGGTATACGAATCTCATTAATTATACGACCCGACCGGTTGATTTAACAATTTATGTAATTTTGTTTTTTTTGTTTTTATTTATCAGGTGAATTTAAGGACAAATAGTTTTTCAGATGGTTCCGAGCTCTTTAAATGTCAAAAAGACCGTTATGAATTATTTGGTGTACACATCTGTGTTGGTATTCGGCGTAMGAGCGTCTGCATTCGGGTCGAACAATTATACGCTCAGGCGACACAAGGTACGTAGGGTACCTACACCTCGCAGTACATGCATTGATCTTGATGTGAAATGTGTATAATAATAAATAATAGTACGCTTGTGCTCGGCGCGTGAATGATGTAATAATTATTGAATTACAATCTACAATGTACAGGTGCACAATATAGTTTTATACCCGGACAAGCATTCATGGTGTACGAGCACGCCAATTAAACAAGTCATATCCGATGTCGATTGCGATCCCGTGGAGATTGACAACCTCGTTTGCCTGGGCGCATGTTTCAGTTATTCCATACCGAGAACGGTTCCGGGCAACAACGGCGATGAAGTCAATTCGTACTGTGACTCCTGCCAACCCGTAAACACACTATGGATTCCTGTGAGCATGAGGGGAAATATAATTACCTTACGGGCACTGAGGCATTAGGCAGTACATACTCCCTGTTCCTATATATTTCTCAAAATTATTCCTCTTGATTAACTTTACTACTCAAAATTATTCCTCTTGATTAACTTTACGTTAGGCAGTTATTCAATATTTAGTAGACATCGAAATACTCAAAAAAATATTCTGCTTTTGAAAAACAAAATTAAAAATTGTATTTTTCCAATAAAAACATCATAATTGCTTGGTTAAGCGTTAAGGCTTCAAAAAGATTTTCTATAACTTAATAGTTTTGAAAATAATGAGTGCTTTACATTTGAAGGATTACGAATMGTATGTATAATGTATACTAAATAATTATGTACTTATTGATTATTACGGGTGCAACTATATATACAGACCTATCCGGAGAGGTGCTAAACAATTTTCATTAATAATTAGCAATTATTAATTACCATTGTGCATAATATATTTGTATATATAACTTTTAATTAATGACAAAATCATATACTATGATTTGAGCATTGTCTATACTACAAACTAGAGGGCTAAACGTTGTATATGACAAAGGTACAATTATTGATGAACCATTTTTTGAACAAAAATCAAAAATTTCAAAGCATTTTAGCAATAGTTTTGCCTATGTCACAGTCACACATGATCTATTTTATAGAATAACATTTAAAATTTTCATAATATAATTAAAAACCTACCTATTAAAAAAAGCTTTGTCATGAGGGAAAGGGGAGCAAAGTCCACAATAAGTTCTGCATGGTACCTGCAGTGTTAATGCATTGTAAATGATATACCCTCGGGAATKGGTAAACTGYAGAATTACTCTTATTTATCTATATAATTATGATCTATTGCTGTAGGTAAAACTTAAGTGCAACGATGGGTCGAATCACACAAAACGTGTACAGCTGATCAAAGAGTGCCGGTGTTCGTCCTGCAGCCGACACTGGGAACTGGAAAATCCTCCGACGGACTTCGTGGACGAGAGAACCTCCACACAGACATCGAGGTGAGTTGGCTGGGCGATGGCCGTTTGTTATAATTATATAACAATTAACTCACTGATCAGTGATAGAATGATTCAGATATATGCAACTRATGAAACTTGAACAAAATGAAAACGACGAAAACGAAGAGTCTTTTACAGACGCGGTGTCGAAGTCTGCGGATGACGTCAGTATATTTATATTATATTATGAGTTACTATAATTTATTACMTATGCATTTATGCGTACACGGTTAGGTTAGGTTATACATTTTTCAGGCGCGTACCTTGGAATTTCAAAAGAGGTGAGAGGGAGTGTTATTCTAAGTTAAAATCATACATATCAAATTAATAACTTATGTGTAGTTTTATTTGTTATCACAAAACCACAGTTATTACCAGAACTGATGAGTCAAGAGTGTGATAACATTTTTAAATAATATACACTGTATACAAGTGTGGACTGCCAAATAATGGCACGGAATGCTACAAAATTTAAATGGCAAATAAAAAAAATGTTTAAGGCAGATTTAAAATAAGTAAATTATTCATAAAATATTAAAATATTTTGTTTTGTTTTAATCGAATATCAAAAATACTCAAAAAAAAAAAAAAAAAAAAAAAAAAAAAAAAAAAAAAAAAAAAAAAAAACATAAATAGGTGCCAAGTTACAGCAAACATTCAAACAAAATTTTACAACATTAGATTAAAAACGAATAAGATTAAATTTTAGATTAAACCTATTTTAAAGCAAAAGATGCTGTAGCATCCCAGACAGTCCACGCCTGGCTATATATATTTCGTTATGGTAAATATATTGTGTACATTACGGTCTATAATRTGATGAATCTTTATACCTTTATAAGACATTATATCATAAAACGGTCAATGTGGGGAAGGGGTATTATTACACCTGTARCACCTCTTCTGGATACGCACCTGACTCGATTTATCATTTATKTATAATTATCAAAGTATCGTTATGACGTGGAATTTTAGMCACTGGACGCTGTCAATTTGACCAGACTGACTTACGAGAAAAACATTTGGATTCGAGGTCCACACCATTCAAAGGTGAGTGTAAAACGAAACAAATACATATTGTACTAGAACATGTTAAGTAAATAAGCTTCATATATAGAACACGACCGCGTGTAGCTACAATTACCTATAATGTATTCGGATTTTCAGGTGCTATTGAGGAAAGAAAATATTATGGTAAACGCACCGAACGTCGTGGCCCACGACGATATCGCTCAACAATATTTGAGTGAAGACGTGGCTGATAAGAATAATAAACTGTAACATGGGTTTTTAATTATTATACGTATAAATATTTAATATTATATAGTTTATTTTATTATTTGCATCAGATATAACTTTATAACAATATAAAATGTAGGTATATGTAAATGAATTTACAATAATATTAGGCATACCGTCTCGATGGTCAGGTAAACTCTTGACATGAAGGCAAATAATCATTACATYGGTGCACTGCCAATCGATTCGTGTAATTTTTTTAACAACAAATCCAAATCTATGACGTTCTGTTTGCACTGGGCGGCCATTTGACCTTCGGGCAATTCTTTCGGTTCGTATTTCAACAAGTTTTCGGCTTGTTCTAGATAAAACTTGGATCTCTGATCGAAAAACAATAGATTATGACATTATCCGTCTGTGTAACAATTCACTGCATAAACYACTCGCGMGAAAACTCACCAACAGAGCCTCCATCACGGTATTGGTGTCGTGCTGCGATCTCCTAGCGTCTTCTGCCATTACGGCGTGCAATTCGAACATCAAGGCGCCTCTTATTCGGCATTCGGCTACCAAAGACAAAAGAGATAAATAAACAAATACAACTCTTGTATACGAAAACGACATGATATTTAAACTATAACTATAGGTACGCGAAAAAGTTTTCAAGACTCACCGGGGAACAACACGTCCGCAACTTTTAAGACTTTCAGGCACAACTCTCGCTTGTGGTTCAGCTGTTCCGAGGACAGCGTGTCCAGCGGCTGTCCCTCCAGCTGCCCGTACAGTTGCGCCAAGTTAAGGCGGACTTCGGTGAAGTAATAGTGGTTGGGGTGCAATTCACCGGCCGACACATAATGGTCAAGGAACATGCGACAGTGTTTTGGGTCGCGGCGGTTCATTGCTGCCATATCTTTGCCCACGTGKGACAGCGARAGTTCGATCCGGTTTGGGTCGGCGACCGTGGAACAAAAGTTGCACGTCCATGCGACGTCGAAAGGGTCGTCGGTAGACGGATGGACGTTCGGCAACGCGTATCCCATACAGTCTCTGAAAAGGCGAACGCGTGTAACATAAATAATATTTTTGATTGGTGCACAAGTTATATTTCATACTAGTATATACGTGATATTATATAAACAATATTATCGATAATATAATAATTAATTACCGTATTTATAATAGTTTTTAGTTTTTTACACATCATCGTTTATCGTAATTATTTTTTTGAAACATTTATTATTTTTAGTTATATAGCACTTTTTCACAATAAATTATAAATCTATCCATCTAACTACAAAAGTAAGTATACAAAAGCCAAATACTAATCATTCATTCATTCATTATAATTCATAATATTTACATCTTAAAAACTACAAAACTCCTCTGATGCTTTAGCTTTAGATAATCGCATTTTAAAGAAGTAGTCAAACAGGGGTCTTGGAATTCATAATGAAAATTGGATTTTTTTTTTGTTAGTAAATAGTTGCCATTGGTTATAGATTATACACGGAAATTGTAATAGTTGATATTTTTATTTTTAAATATATATGGTGTCATTGGTTGGAAATTGGTATTCGTTGGATGAGGTAAAAACATTCATAACATTGTCGCTCAATGACCTGGAATAAATAAATAATATTTCAAAGCAATTAATATGACAATATCAGAACCTATTTATAAAATCCGTCTTTTATATATTATGTTTGTTGTCTACATAGAGTCAAAAACCACTCGACACTCGTTCTCGCATAATCAAAATCAATTTGTAGCCTTTTCGTATTTTATAGGTATTATTAACCGAACGTAATTATTATTGCAGTAAGTTGGGTAGGCACTATAAAGAAATTAACTCACTCAGTGGCACACTTGACTCCGCTAAAGTACGTTCCGAGTTCAGTGGGGTCGGAGCACCTAGGACACTTGCAGACGAAAAATTTCGTGTCGGCCAGATGAGCTAGYCGCTGCGCGGTGCCCCACAGTACGTCTGTGTACGAGATGGACAAGTGTCCACCGGTGGCGATAGCCGTGGCTGCGGTCCTGATTAACAGGTGCCCGTCGCTCGTGAACGTCTTGGAGCAGTTAGGCACGCAGCTGTGCTCCAGCATCGATCCAACGTCGTAGATGGCCACGTGAGGTGGATCGGTGAGCGGTACTTCGTGTCCGTTGACCTGCACGATCCCGCACACTCGGAGTATCTCGTCGACCGTCCATTCTGTCGGGTCCAGGTTGAAAAACCTGCGCAAGTGGTCCGCAATCCATATGCGGTCCGCTTCGTACTTGGATCCACCACGGCGACCGACGCAGTGCGACTCCAACTTGGTTAACTTGGCCCAGACGTCCGGGTTGGTGTGCTTCTGGTACAGGCACCTGATCACTGTGATCGACTGATAGCTGGGATGCGGGTTCGCGAAGTCTTTGATCTCTACCTATTACAGTGGGACGGGGTGCAATAATAATCCTCATAACTTTATCCGTATACGAAATATAGTCATCATCTATGTATGTTAACATTTGTATTATAGACAAGGGCGTAGGTATTTAGGGGGATGCGGRTGGCATCGGACCTGGGCTGTACATTTCATGAGGACGTCAAAATCTTAAGATTGGTATACGTATCGCAAAATAATAAGTAATTGTATTTAATTTTAGTTGATTTCGTATCCTACGATATAAATATCATATTTGAATATAGTTTTAACTTTTATTTAAATATACCGGCTTTATTCGAACATGTATATATAATATWATATTTATATATATCAACGTATTTTAATTATTTATTAAAATCAATATTAGTCGATTTAACTGCAATGATAGTGAATGTAATACAATTATTATAGAATATATAGGTACTATTATATAGGTATTATAGGTACTTACAGTTTACAGTTGTTAGAAAATTATTATTTTTATATTTATTACACCAGGAAGTGCAAGGAATAATATTTAAAAAAAAATTTATTATATTTATGATCAGGTAATAATTAATTTTCGGGCTTTTCATTAACAATATAATATGTATTATATACTTGTAATTTCAAAGTAGGAAACTAAACACAATTTTTTTTTTAATCTAAAAAATTAAACAGATCATATCCATCGTATTATGTAGCCATGCAGGTATATACCTATACTATGACATGGTACGTATAAAATCGTAAAACGCTGTTGAAGAATTWTTCTCTATTTACAAAACTGTACATTTCCGTTTCACTGGATTTCGTCGGTCAAAAAACGGTGTGTCTCCATCACGAACTCCCGCACTCACCTTCTGCTTCCTCCGCGTCACGGTCCAATCGCATTCGGCCCTGTGCCATTCGTCGTCCGAACATTTGCTATCCGCGCACATCGGCCAACCGCACCGTTCGCACCTCGTCGCTGAGTCCGCAGTGATCAATTTCAGGCATCCCAGACACACCGGCCGGGTGATCTGCGACGGGCCCCGGATCAGCGGCCGTTCGACGAGCGCCACTTGCCACGCGGCCAAGTCCACATTAGCGGCCACGTACCTGCCGACCGCCGGGTCCTCCGCCACCTGAAAGACCGCGCAACAATGTCAATCGGGAGACATAAAAACGGTTTTTTTTTTATTTTAACTGCACTCGGGCTTATCCGAATCCTGATTTTTGGAACGTCTTATCGAACAAGGTGATAACGCATAGAGGTTATTTGTTGTAAATAGTAGATTGAGGTTCCTTGTCAAATAATAACATGTATATTTAAAAAGTACAAACTAAAAACGATTTAATTATCAGAAAAATACTATTAACTTGTTGTTTATTATTTATGGATTCAGTTTATTTGGGATTTACATTGAGTAATTTTGAACTTGATAGTCATCTTGACACAAGGTATCATTAAAAACTAAAAGTTTAGTTTCGATGAGATTTATGATTATGTTTAACTTAGATAACTATATTCATGACGTACGACGAACTTCCATGTTTTTGTAAAAAAAAATAAAACAAAAAACGCAAGTATTTTAACTTAATATTAGAGTTGGATCGTTTTATTTCAGTATAATCTCTAAAATACTCTCTTGATGGTATTTTGAATAATATGACAAAAAGCACTAAAAAAACAGTTGTGATACAAAATTTAATACCCACTAATATCTACCAGTCCTACCAAGTAAAATCTGTCATCCTTCACGACTAAGAATTGGAAACTAGATACTGGTTTGTATTTCGCTTTGAATATAACGCCATTTTATAAACAATATCATGCGAATTTTAAGCAAAGATTTATGGAAAAACTATAGGATCATTAAACTAGAGAATTTAAAGATATAAAATTCGAATTAACGACCAAAAAATCACTCCGTACAAATGTGATTGCGCATTTGCGCATGACTGCAATTCGAAATCTGTGATTACGAGATGGTATTTTCCCCATACACGCCCTCACATCAACTAGGTATAAGTGCATAACAGTGTTGGAGATAAAAAAATTAAAATTAAATAAAATTAGGGGCTCACATCTTTCGAGAGCTTTTATGGATTTCCGTGAATCTTTGAGTGTCACAACATAAGTAATAGGTACTTACTTGATATTTCACAAACTACAATTCACTTATAAAAAATATTGCTCTACAATTAATCAGGCGTTTCTTATTCGGCGTGGTGTCATATATTGGTGACGTAGGTATAAACCACGTTTAAAAAAAAAATATATAATAATTTATCATGAATCGCTCGTTCTCTTACCTTGATCAATTGTGTAACCATGATGGTCGGTGCAGCTCGTCGCGTTGTACTGGGAAGTGTGATGGCGCGGGGCGTATCGCGCCGATACGTACTTATTAATAGAGAATATGGTACGCCGTTACACGAATAAATGGCGGCGGGAGAACGTGTACAATATCGTGGGTTTAAAAATAGGTTCGATCTGACAAAAAAATTGGATCACACCGCTGAACGCATTATGATAACGTGCACATCATCGCGTCGACTTTACTAAACGGGCAGTTGGGTTATTCTACAGCTTACATACCGGTTATACACACTATACGGTTACAGGCAGGCACGATGCCAGAATCTTTTCCATTGAAAAACGATTATAGACAACTGTAATATTTTCAGGAGGGCGAATCAAATTGTCAACTTTCAAAAGCCAATTAATGTTTATATCTTGCATAATATTATTGGTAAATATGAAATGGATAAAGGATAATATAAATTATGTACAATGTACATGCTAGAAGACGGGACAAATGAAATAGCTTTTGTTCTTATCAATATATTTTTAAATACGATTTATTGACTCATGCGTTACACGTAAAAATGTAAAATATAACATTATTTATTACCAAAAATATCCAAATTGAAAACAGGGTTTTTTGGAAATTTTTGATTGTAAAAACGTTTTCTAAGTCAGATAGATTAGTTTTTACGATTTTTTAAAATAGGTATCAAATTTTTTTTGTTGTAAACCTCATTAATTTGAAACGTAATAACTTAAAAATACATTTAGAATTTGACAAGTAGCACTTAATAACTTCTAATAAAATATTTAAAAAAATGTATTACCTACCTATTTGAATTTTTGGCTATCTCCTAATATGCGGTCTACCTCCGTTTTGTGTGCTACGTAACTATAAATATGAGTATAGTATGCGGTCTATCAATGTTATGTGTTCTACCTTCTACCTATATAGCTGGGAATCCCGCATCATTTATATTTATTATCTTTGGAGGCCTCTTAGACTCAAAATCGTTAAAAAAATGTATGGTACTAATGAAGACCTCTTAGATAGGTACTTAGCCGAGTATTGGTGGCGAGAATTAAATAAAACAGATAATATTTTTGATGCTTTCCTTAGAGATATGAAATTATGCTTTGTGGATCCTTAATAAATTAATTTTTTTTTTATACTTTAAAATACTTTTATATTATTACGGTAGATAATTTTGTAGATCCTTAATAAATAAAATTTTTTTTATACTTTAAATTATACTTTTAATATTATTATGGTAGATCATTTTGTGAATCCTAAATAAATTAATTTTTTTTTATACTTTAAATTATAGTTATATTGTACTTTATTACTTTAATATTATTACGGTAGACGACGTCCATTTTGGTAGACCGCATATTGGGAGATAGCCGAATTTTTTTTTTATTAATATATATTTTATCTAATAACCTATATCTATCTATTATTATCTAAATAATTCGGAGTATTATTCATAGACCCTATACTATAATACTACTAGAATAAGGTCTATGGTATTATTATGTTGTTATGCTAGTATTTTGCAATACTATTATCTATTTTGAAAACTATTTTTTTTCAATTGATTGCAACTCATGATGTTATATACTTATATTGTTATACATATATAAGTATACATATAACAGTATAACCATATATAGATACCTATGAAGTAACTAGGAATAAATTTAAAAGTTTTTATACAATTACAGGAGGAATATTATGCAAAAAAAAGTAACACTTTACGGCTGAATATGGAACTAAATAGATATTTATTTTTTATTTTTTTTTCCTATGGTATCGAGGACCTGAGAAGGAACTATGTTGCCAATACTTCTCCTACTAAATATGTATGAATCTAATCTATTAAAGATACATATTCAGTTAATTTAACTGATATTGACATATTATATTTATATTATTAATATATTATTGTCAATTCTGGTGACACTCATAACAATTTAAAATTATGTAAAATTTGCCTGTGGCTAATWATTTTTTTATTGAATATTTGAATGTAAAGAAAAGGTAACAATACAAACACAATTATCAATTTGAATTATCAAATTATTGTCATAACTCATAACTTTCAGTGTAAAACTGTRAAACATCATACTTAATTAAAAATACTTATGATAAACATAGTAAATATTAATTAAGATATCTAATGGCAGTATCTAGYTATTAGTACCTAGCAGATAGGTACRCATTAAAATATGAATAAAGTACTACTGTACTAGGAACCTAAATCATGGATGTTAATTAATAATTACTAACCAAAATTATTTGATTTTAAATTTTATGCAATATAATTTAATTTAAAAAATTTACATTAATAATTCAAATAAAGATATTTATGATAAACTAAACAAAAATAATTCATTTTTGTTTAGTTTATCTATAGTTTAKGCGAACCAAAAAAAATTACTTCTTTGTAATTGTGGTACCCCCCAAATTTAAAATTAAACAAAATATGTACAATTTCAATCATAGTAAGATGTACAATATAAAAACCTTATGTTAATAAGTTATTGAAAAATAAAATAGTTTATATATAATACAAATATACATAATACACATACAGTTAATTTGCTGTAACTTATTATGTTTCCATAGACTGTTGTTTATTGTTAGTAAACAGTCTGGCATATAAATCACCGAATTGTGAAATATTTTCAATCATAGTGAGTCTTAAAGAATCCGAGTATGGTTTTGGCACAGCTACAGTTGTTGTGTCCCTCCACATACCACCAATATTATTTCGTAAAAACAGAGCTGGTGCTGGAATGTGATCTCTAGTGTATGTCCAAACGCAGTCTCGTAATACTATTAGTATCTATGAAATTAATAAATATTTAATGCTTCTATGATATCAATGAACATAACAATATTTWATCATAAAAATAGTGAAAATTATTTACTTGTTGTGGTGTGAGTTCTGTAACAATAACACCCAAGACATCTAATGGTTTAGGTAAAAGCTGACCTAGTGACATAGTGTTTAATAGCTTCACAGTATCATTTAATAATTGTTGATTATCCTTGGATTTTCCCTTAGTATGGTTAACTGCCCCCCAATGATTTATCAAACATGCACAGACGGCTCTTAACAGGACTGAGCAATAGCAAAGTGCCGGGCGATGACCGGCCAATATTCCAAGTATTGTCCAGAGTATTGGTTTAGTAGTAATTGTATGGTAAATATGAACATCTCTTTCAATAGTGACCTAAACAAATAAAAACAAACAATTGTTATAGATATCGTATTTCCAATACCACCACCCATTTTCATTATTTTACTTTTGTAAAATCTTCATCAGGCCAAGGCAAACCATTGTACATTACATCTGGTGATACAAACTGAACAACTAATAGTGCTAAAGATACTACTGTGTCCAATGTTGGTTCAAATGAATAACATTCATCGGACGAATAACAAGAACGTAAAAATGAAACAAGACGCTGCTCATTGAAACGTACACTTTTAGCATCAAAAACAGGTGTTTTATATTTTGGATGTAGTTCATTTTTGTCAAATTTAATGTTTATTTCCTCACCAAACATTAAATTGAATTCCTTTACAATTAAAAACAAATAATATTTGAACAGTCAAACAATCATTATTCGATTTTCAATTTTCAATTTTGAAGATTAATTTATTGTATACCTGTTGAAGGAATGATCCCATTAATGAAGTTTTTTCAAGCGGCTGTATTATATAGTCATTACGTCGATTATCAGGCATGACAAATAACAATGAAAATGGTTCCTTTAGAACACCATCCAAAATATATTTCATAGCAGCTGTTCTAGCTATTGAYGACCGATAACTAACAGTATTGACAAACTTATTCATTCGAAGACATGCTCTCAGCTTAAACATCTCATCTATAATAAAAATTTAATAATTTTAATGATAATAAAATATGACAATAAGTTGTAAACAGACCTTTTTCTTTAAATAGACAAGTGAAGAAATATAGTACAGCTGCTTTTACACAGTATAACACTTTAGGTACAGACATTTCTTTCATGCATAGCTTAGCAGCAATTTTAGATAATATCGATGACAATAAATGAGCAGATTGCATATCTCCACTATGACAACATTCAATCATTGATCGGCATATCTTGTCCAAATGAGATACAACAGCCAATGAAACACCATACAGTGAAATACCCTCAGGTGGATCAGATTCCAAACTGAAAACAGAGACAATTATAATATAACAGTTAGGTYTAAGGGGATATACTGTAATATCGGTATAATGCAATAACTATACTATAAATTACCTCAGTAAAGTATTTATGTTGTTCCAAACATTAGATAAAGAAACATCAGTTTTAGCCAGAGCATAGACTAAGCCTCCATCAAAATGAGCCATATTGACACCAAACGATAAAATTTCTATAAGTGTCTCCAGTTGTATGCTATTTTCACATTCGATTAACATTGTTGCTATATATGGCAACAAACACTCTTGGTCCCTAATCGCTAAAATGAAATTTTTTTAATTATTAAGTATAATTTAAAACCATATAAGTATTACTAACCAATACAACTTAAAAGCTTTGCAGCTGGTTGAGCCACATTTATATTTGTTGATAATAAATAAAGTTTGATTGAATGTAAGTTTGTTACAAGTGCTTTGACTATGGGAGGCGTAGTGCGGTTTGTTCTCAGTGAATATTCAAGTTCAGCAAGGAACAATTCTTTATATAAAACAAAAATAATGATTTGAATTAGTTCACTAATAATACAGCAATAATAATTAATCTTATTTACCAAATAATGTCTGGGCACCAGTTTTTAGAATTTTGAATTTTGGATCTTCACAATCAATTAATTGAAATATTAAATTTAAAACATGCTTAATTCCTCGATCAGCATTCAATAATACTTGTACCATAATATCTAACAAACTACATTGTTCATCAAAATATTTTTTCCACTGTTGATATAATGGTAATAATTTATTTAGTACCTCTGGAGTGACTAAAACAATTATTGAATAATTAAAATCAATGGTGGTAGTATGAAAAAAAGTGTAATAGTACATATGAAGAAATTATATAATTTATAAAAATTGTATTTTGAGCATAATTTTAATGTATTTTAATAATTTAATGATCATTCTAAACCATATACTCTCATTTATATAATGGTATAATTTAACACTTACTTTGAGTTAAATTTTCACATAACATTGACTTGAGTAATGTTGAAGAACACATAGCCATGTGCAAAAGAAAAGGAATTATTGCAACATTTTCAACAGTCATTTTTTGGTGTTCTTCGCCAAGACTTAACTATATAAAAAAAATAATAGTTGTTAAAATCATTTAAATATTAAGTGTGTATAGTGTTTACAAACCTTGAATAGTTTGAACACAACATCTTTGATGTTATTGAAGTATGTAATCGAGAGGTGATCAAGAATTCTAATAAAGGAATTTAGCTTTTCAGTCTGAAAAAAACAAATATTTATTTTATGTATTACATTATTTACATATCAATTATGTTTAAAATAGTATGAAATRATTAATTAACTCACATGTTTAAATTTTTTAGTGGTACACATCTCTTTAATACCACACAATAACATTTCCATAATAACTAATGATGGGAAACTATCACCAATTTGAGCTAAAACCCATTCAAAACTTGAACTTTTATACCCTAACATGGTTTCTAAAAAATACAATTATCTATTGAATTATTCATTTTAAGAATGATTATTATAATGGATTAAAGAAATTTTATAAATGCTTACCAATCATAGGATCAACTGACCGTTCCCCCTCTGCTTTCATCATTTTAGCAATAGTCTTGTTATTAATGTCTACTAGAATATAAGCAACTGAACACTGAGACCAAAATCGAAGCATATCTCCCAAWGGCATTCTAGCAAATTCATGCATATTGTAGTGCTTAGATACTTTTCCTAAGAAATTATATTTACATTTAATAATTTAATATTTAAAAATAAAATAATTTTATCCGTAATATAWATTTAATATTTACCTAACAATTTATAAGACCAATGCAGTACAACAGGAGCCCAAACTAAGTGATCTTCTTCAACTAGTCGCAAAAGAACATCCCTTATGTTGGTTACRTTTTCWATGATTTCAGGTGGTATGATTGGAGGCTCAAGCCGTGATGATGTACTTGATTCAACCCAYGATGGCTGTATGAAAAWTTTTTGATTAGTTTACTAACAATTTTGTTATTACAGAAACATTTTATTCTTTAAGAGCTGTTGTTTGAACTTGAACATTATTTACAATTAACATTAATATAATAACTTAATACCTGAACTTTAAGTTGTTTCAAATATGTAGAAATAGCATAATCAAAAAACTTTGCATAATACTCAAAAACAGCATCCTGTGCAGCTGGCAGTACTTTGAGCAATTCCATTGCACAAGTAATTTGAGCCGTTTGAACATTGATGAAGGGTTGTTTCGTTTCACTAAGAAACACTGCTAATTTAGCAAACTGATCTTCTTGATGTTTTTTCATCTCCATCATGATCTAATTTACAAAATAAAAAGGACATTCAAATGTGTTAGCAACATAACATAATATTATATTTTTAAGGKAAATAAAAATCATACAATTTGAATTCGCAACAGTACTTCATAAATAATTGAGGTCCTTTATCTTCTAAAATATAATGACTATTGAAATGTAGATTTTTAAAATATTAAAAAATAAATAAATAATTTTAACTTACTAATTTGAAATTGAACGGTTTAGTTCATATTATTATACCAATGAATCAAAAAAAAAAAAAAAACGATACTACAAGTCTTGATAACCAAACAATGATTTAAATTTGTAAATAGTAATCAGTAATCACTAACTATACATTACAAGTATAGTGAAATACTATACTATGAGCTTTTTTTAAACTGTTCTATAGTTTATGTAGTTGTTGTAGTTGTTCCACACGAACAAGACGTTAGTAAGTATAATAGTATACCTATATCATTATGTTAATAATATGTTCTATGTTGTATTATTTATTATTTAACAATATGTATTGATAACAGATAACGAGAATTCGGGACCATAAATTTACCATCACCGGCCACCGCCATCGTATTCTATCATTGTTGACACCATGACAAAATAGATAATAATATATCATAATTCACGATTCAAGTCTTCTAAGTTCTAGATTATAAAACCTAATACAAATAATTAAAAAAATTTGTTTTTTATGTTATCTACGAGCAGTGAGCAAATAGAAATATATTCTTTACACTAGTCAGTAGGGGGGTTATAAAAATTGTCTGCTGAACGGAAGACATTCAATTTCAAGGAACCCATTAATAATTACACAGTAATATATTAAAGAATTAGAAACTGCCAGAATAAATACTAGGTACGAAATACCTAAATCCTTAAAACGTATGTTCCGCTAGCGCCTAGCAATATTTGATAAGTGAGTGAAGGGTTCCCTAAACACAATATAGCCATAAACTAAACTGTTGTTCACCACTAGTTAGCTTAGTATTACCACAAAATATATAAATTGTATTAAATATATTATATTTATTATATTATATTAAATATACTTCATATATTCTGTGATATTATATATTATTATTCATATATTATACTACCAATTTATAAATATTWGACATTATTTTGGTGATTTTTTTAAATACATACAATAGGTTAGTGTTGACTCGCAGAATTTTGAATCTTAAAAACCCAAAAGACGAGGTAAAAAGGCTACTACGGTCTCGACACAAGGTGCCGAATTTGTTCACCGACCTCAAAACTACAAAAATCTCGAGTTTAAAAAACTTATTTCAGTTTTAGTTCGTACAAAAACCCAAGCGTTTTACCAAATATATTTGTTTTTTGGTGAGGGGAATCGATCCCCCCACTACTCTGGGAGTACGTTTTAGAACGTCCCAAACCAAAAATATTGGTACAAAAATAGTCCCCCTAAATTGAAACTTGTCCAACAAATACTTAGTTCAAAAAAGGAGGAGAAGAAACTTAATGTACTATGCACCTGGATATCATATGGATATCCATAACATATGTCAAATTTTGGTGAACAGTGGATATTGTAATTCAATCATTTTGGATATTAGTGTGGATACCCATTATCTAAAGAAAGAGTGGGCAATTGGATATCTAATATTTGATAGATAATCAACTTTTTTTAAAACTCCATCTTCGGCCTGCCAACAATAATTACATGYAYGATGCACCCGATACATCTAATTGTTTTACACTATATATTTTATATTTTTTTTAGTGTTAAAAAAAAATATTATG